AGGCCATTTGCACAGATCCGCGTGAAACAGGAATCCAGTTCAGCAGTAGGAAGCTCGATGCACTCATGTAGACTTTGTGTTCCTTAAAATGAGACGTATACAGCGTGGAAATGTTCCCCAGAGTCTAGCAGAATGAGAAACAGATGGGAAATTATTTGCAAACAGGAACTCTTTTCTTTTCTTGTTTGCTTGCTTGTTTTGCTTACCTCTCGAAAGCCTAACAAGAAACACAAGTCATGTAGAACAACTGCAAGCTACTTGGTACTGATGGCGCTGCATAAACAACACTGCAAAGCACTGACAAAGCTATGCAGTTATTTTTATGATTGTGTTAAACAAGGCAACAGGTCTTACCTTGGACCCCAGCCCAGCGGATACTGATGCACGAACTTGATTCCATTGCTGCAAGTATGACCAGACTGCTAAGTTAAGCATATATGTACGCTTTTGGGGCCGTGGCCTTTGCTAGGAAATCTTTATTACGCTTTTTGAGGATGACAAAAGCAGSTATTATTAGTAGTGACCAGAGTTTTGACTGAGGGGACAGACCACATTTAATTTGCTGCAGTGTTTAGTCAGATAAAGACAGCAACAGCAGAAATGAGAACATCATGTAAATTTATGTTCTAAGTATGAATGTAAAATTTCAATAAATGATTGCAAGGAGATACACATGGAACCACATGTGGTAGAACTGAATTTACAGAGAGCAGCCTCTGTCTTTCAGCCATTCCTCTAATGGAGATTTAAATATGAAATAAATTGCAAACACTTGCAACTGAAGCAGGATGTTGGATTATATTCATTCATATTGAAATTACATCTTCCCTCAGGCTACATAAATGTATCTATAATGGACATCCACATACATATAAAACAATCCTCTTTTGTAATACAAAGATGGGCTTTATTTAAACTGCTATTTTCAAGACAAAATTCTTATTCCATACTTCAAAATAAATGCATTTCTATAGGCATACTCTGACAAGGACCCCTTTAATGATACAGGAATGTGGCTGAACAAATCATAACAAAAATAATAATKATAAAGAAAGCTCCAATCAGAAGGAAAGGTCTTTGCAGAAATGCTGCAGATTTTGTACAACCTCCTGCAGATCTGCATGTTTCACTGTGTGGGGGCGCTGGGGAAATCCCAGCAGCTTTCTATTGTATCTCCTTCTTCCTTGGCTCATGCCCAAGCGAATAAATAATCGTTGTAACCAACTAGATGCATACAAGGGGAGCAGAAGCAGATGAGAAATCCAAAAGATAAGGCGGCCGATGCTCRGGGTACTTCTTGCACATCAGCTAGAAGGCCAGAGCACGTTCATCTTTTTTTGTTAGATTTGCTTCCAGCATGAAAGACCAGGCTTACAGAGAGCAGACCACGGCAGGAAATAGCTATGCCTGCTTCTCAGCCCCAGGGCAAGGGGATTCCATACTGACATGCTAATTCGCTGGAGGCTTTAGTTCCCTTTGAGAAGGGGCTGAAGAGGCTCCGGGGGCATTTCCCGTCGGTCCTCGTGCACTCGTGTCACTGCACGAGGCCGTGTGGAAGGCCCTGGGCTAGCTCACCTCCTCCGTGCGGGAACCGGGAGCCCTTCCTCTCGCAACATCCCCCGCTGCCTCCAAACCAAAAACAGCTCAAAGCGTTTTARAGCACGTGTTTCTTAATGTTGCTTTTAGAGGGAGAAGAGCAAGTTAGGCAAGGCGTTCCAGGTGTCCTCCCCTGCCTGAGATGTGCACATCCTATCCCCGACCACAGGCTGAGATATCTGACATGCAGCCTGCCCACCAGCTCGTACCTGTTGGCCCCTCTCCACTCCACAGCTCTGTGCACGAATGGCAAGTTATGATGAAACAAGAATTTTAACTGCAATGAGGAAAATATTCTGCAGACTTGAAGACAATCCAGGCTTGAAAAGCACACCCTGCCGGCTCCGCGGCCAGCTTGGATTCCCTCGGCCCGAGCCCCAGCTGCTCCGTGTCGAAGCCAAGAGCGCTAGGACGGCCACGGACCTGCGTCTCCCCCCAGATCCATGTCTGCAGCAGGGCCTGCGGTTCCAGCCCCCAGGCAAAAAAATCTGTGGATGGATGCAAAATCCCTGCTCCTTGGGGAGCGTTCTGCAGGGCCTGCGAATCCCCTGAACCCTGACACCCCTCATGTCCGGTGTTTAGGTAGATACAGCAAAGGGTGAGAGGGTGCTCGCGCTGGACAAAATACAGACTCCTGTTCCCCTACGAGCCAGCTGCTCTTTCTATTTTTAAATACTCTGGAGAGACTCAAATATTGCGCTGCTGAGAGGAGGCTCGCGTAACTACCTAGGCAGATGGATGCTGAGCAAAGGCAGGAAATTCTCCTTGCAGACCAGAGCCTTGGAGAAAAGCTCCTTGCAGCTGTCTGTTGAAAGGCAGCAGGTAAAAGGCCCGGACAAAGGTGCTTCAGGCTTTGAGACTAACCTGCTCTCAGGAATGCTGCTCTTCCACTTTCCTACATGCTCTGCAGTTGCTCCAAACATGCTCAGATGGAGSCTCTAAGAAAAAAACTGAAGCAGCCACAAAGCACTGCTCACCGAGCAACTACGGACAGGCTCAGGTTTGCTGAAGTTTCTTCAGACTAAACTTCACTTAAAAAGTCTAATAATTTTGACTGCATTTTCATGGTGTTTTGAATCAAGCATGAGGCAGCTGTTCACTTTTTTCAATGACAACTCACTGCTTTTTGACATTTGGAAATGGAGGGAGCCACGTAAGGGGGAAGCAGCCTCCTTCATCCACACAAACTTCAGCTGGGCCCAAGGTCGCTATGAGAAATATCTGTGTGTGCAAAATGACTCGAGTATGCAAATAATTGCAAAATCAGGCTGAAGGAAGCCTAGGAAACAGCAATCTCGCCTTACTACTTAACTTCTTACTGCTCAGCTGTACTGGACGCTTGCCGTATGGCACRTTGCTTTTCTCTTTTCCCTCTCTGGGAAGCAGGCAAGAAGGGCCGGGCTTTTCCTTGCRGCTGCTGCAAACAAGGTGCTGGCCCGGGAGCAGCTCCACATCCCATCCCTGCCGCCCCAAGGGCAACAATTCAATTCAACTGGTCATAATTCAAAAGCAGACTCTTGAGTAAGGGCTTTCTGAAAGCGTCTGACCTCTTTTTTAAGGGGGAAGTTATAAAGGAGGAAAGCAAACCCTCTGCTCTGTTTCCTGCTGTTGTACTCTTTATTTCCCAATATTTCCATTGCTAGTGAGTAAACCCTTTGCGCAGCAGCAGAAGAGGGAAGGCGGCGCTGAGAAGAGGGCAGCCTTGTCTCCAGGTCCTTGGGGGCCTCTGCTCCTCTTCCTCAGCTATCTGACCAARCTCCTGTCCAGCGTCCACTGAGGCAATTTTAATGCCACCCCCAATGACTCTTGCATTTTTCCACCATTGAAGGAAGTGATATAAATTATCCTCCATAAATGCATTTCCCAGGAGGTAGGGGGCAATACACAAGTTTCAGCGAGAAGCCCAGTAAAAGACTCCAGACAACTATATATGATGCAGAGGCACGAGCTGAAGTTGCACAGACACRAGGTGGTTCTCGTAGCAGAACTGAGCGCTGCTTTCCAGGCGGGTATGCAGCCAGCTTCACTGATGGACTAGGAATTCATACGCAGCCACCTACATGTGTAACCATGCTATTTTTGTTCCTTCTTGTTTATTATAACAACTTGGATGTTTCCAGTGGAGCGCAGCTGTAGCAATCCATCTTCAAACTCCAACAGCAAAACAGGTAACTTGTATAATGTGGATTTTTCAAATTATACTGTTACACAAAAACTGTAGCAGCTAGAGGAAAGGGATTCTAATCTGGGCAAAGTCTCTRGAAACTACTTCCATAACAAATTGCATTTTTATTGTTATTTCCTGACTGAGTAATAATACAGCTGGAGCAGAGAAAACGTGCCTAAATACAGCACGTCARGTTAAGCTGCAGCACAGCAATTTTTGCAGATTTCTGCTGGCTACTTATTCCTGTGCATTGTTTTTAATAATCCTTAGCTGCACTGCTTCATTAAAATGCCATCGATTGGCTGCCTTATCTCGATCTCACGGTGGCAAACCATGACTAAAGTCTCTTTGGTTGCAGCCCCTCACATTAATGAAGTTCTTGTCAATTAATGTCAGGGATAAACTGAAGAACCAGGGCCCCAAACACATCAAAGGCGTTAAAAACGTTTTCAGGAATGAACAAGCAGCGCTTTGTGCAGCCTCCTCCTGGGGCTTCACTTTCCGTGGGGACGGTGGCGTGGCCCATGTGGCCGCACTCCGCATCTCGCCCTTGGATAAAGTGGCAGAAGGCAGAGAACKGAGCACCAGCCCTTGCTGGCAGGAAGGGCGATAAGCGGAGAGGCACGAGCAGCTTTTTCATCTTGTGCTTCCTCAGTACAACGAATTAGCTATCTGTTGTYTTACCGCTAGCGATAGATTTCCCACGGCCCGCTACTGAAAACGTCCCTGCTTCTCTTCCCTGACGTCAGGGTGAAATTTTGGAGAAAACCCTTCCCTGACTAGCTAGGTGTGTTTTGCCCAGTGCTGCTCGCGGCTCACCTGCTCCAGCCGCAGAGTGGGCTCCCGCGGCCCGCCTGCTCTCGCGGTGCTCCCTACCTCTCCTCCGCGCACTCTGCCAGTGCCACGCGGAGTTTCGCCTGCAAAAACAATAGAAAGGACAGCGTCGTCAGTGTTGGGCTCGGGCGCGGTGCTTGCTGCCGCCCTCCCGAGCCAGGTGCAAGGTCCCCCGTCCCCGCCGTGCCCGGAGCAGGGCCCGGCTGTCCCCCCGGCCCCGGCCGGCTGTCCCGAGCGGCGGGCGGGCCGCGTCCCCGGCGGCTGCGGCTTTAAGAGCGGGGCGGGCGCGGGGCCGGCACC